ACCAGATGATGGTTTGATTCCCAGTCAGGGCACATGCCCAGGCTTCAGGCTCAATCACCAGTAGGGGGCATACAGGAGACAGCTGATGGATGATTCTCATCATTGATGTTTCTATCTCTTTCTCCTCTTCCTTCCTCTCTGAAATCAACAAAATATATTTTTTTAAAAAGTTTATTTAAAAAAGATAAAATAAAATGAGATAATCCCTAGAAATTAGTGAATGAAAAACAAAAGACTATGGCAAATAACTGAGTTGTTGAAATTATACTGACCCAACCTGAGCTCACAACAATGACTCAGAAACAACTGTGGTCAATTTTATTATCAGACATGGAAAATAATAAACAGAAATATTTTTTAAAACTCACGTATATAAAATTAGGCAATGTGTGATATACAGTATAAATATTCAATAAATGAGATGAATATTATCATTTTTATAACTTACTAAAAAGAATATAGATTCTATTTCAATCCACCGTACAAGCAGTACAGCTAAAACTTCCAATACTATTATGATGAGCATATCAGCATGAATACTAAGCATTTTGACTTAAAAAAAATTAGAGAAACAGAAATAATTTCCTCACAAATTTTATCAAGATGTTTGAACAATTAGCATTTCAACATATAAGGCTATTATATCCATGATAGACCATCCCCCTTGATCCTATAATGAGGTATAAGAGAATTTCCCCCATTTCTTCATGTTTTGTAGTCTTATACAATTAGTTTTGCTTATTTTACTCTTTCCATATATTTTTTTTTGAGTCATTAAAAGGCTCAGAACAGGCCTCCGCAAGATGTACCACTTTGGCATGTGGATTATTTTAAGCTAAAGGCAATCGAGACCCTGTGGCTCAACGGAACCTTTGACTTCTCCCTTAAAAAATTTAAATTGGGGGTGTGCAATAAGAGGAATCACCAGAGATAACCTTTTATGACATACATAAGACTTCTTTTTTTAAAGTATATGTTTTAATTGATTTCAGAGAGGAAGGGAGAAAGAGATAAAATACATCAATGATGAGAGATAATCCTGGATCAGCTGCCTCCTGCATGCCGCCTCCCACTGGGGATTGAGCCCAGAACTCGGGCATGTGTCCTTACCAGGAATCTGGTTCATAGGTGGACACTCAACCTCTGAGCCATACCAGCCAGGCAACAAACTTCTAATTACTAAACACCTGTTCTTATTATCATTCTATGAATGGCATTCCTCCCCTCTGAAGCTCTGGAAAGGCATGTTCCTCATTCCTTGGCTCAAGATGCCATATATGCTTCGTTACTCTTTCGGTCTCTAAATCTCTCACATACGTAGGGTTCCCATATGTACATACAGAATTAAATTTGGTTCTTTTTCTCTTGTTAATCTATCTCATGTCAATTTATTTATTAGACCAGCTGGGGGAACCTAGAGGGGTAGAGTACAATTTCTTCTTCCCCCACATTAGGAACAAGCAACCAACTTTGGGTAGAGCGAGGGAGACAGAGCTGATGAGCTTCCTTCTAAAGCCACTGGTTATGCTTCTGGAGGCAGGACATAGGCTGGGTTGCTCCATTCAGAGGAGAGGTTTCATTCTTTTGTAATTGTTGTTCAATTTTTTGACATTTACTTTGTAAAGGTGAGATTATCCCTTCTAAAACTGATTACAATTTACATGCATGCTCTAAAAAAGTGACTCAATGTTACTTACGTTCCTGAGATTTATATGAAGAAAAATGTATAACTATAAGCACAAACAACTTCTATTTAACAATATCCCTTTTAAAATCTTAAGTAAAAGTAAGAGTTTGGACAAGATGATCTCCATGGTCTCTAGCTATAATACTCTGTGATTCAACACATACTTACTCAGTGTCTACATATTACTATGTGCTGCACAGTATGAGGGGCACATAGATATTAACACACCAGACATGACCTCAGCCCTGGGGACAGCAAGACAGAGAAGTGTGGACATGTAAGACTGTCAACAGCTAGAGGTCAAGTTTCCTATAATGTGCAATGTTGTATTTTCATGGCCTGGCAATGCCTAGCACACTATAAGTGTTTGATCAATATTATTGAAAGAGTAAGGGTGAACATAGCAGGCTATGGGACTTAGCCCTATCTGGAGATTTGGTGAAGATTCAATTTGTATATTCAATCTATATGTTCTCTGGCCCTCATGCCATTGCTGCTAACTATAGCTTTTCTAAAAGCCCACAGGCGTGGCAGTGTTATTCAGTTTTTGAACTCACAGTGCTTATAAAGAGATTACTGCTTAAGTAGGTAAGGTTACTTTCAAAGGAAGCTACTCCCATACTTGTGCTTGTAGTTTTCAATTTAAAGGGCCAGTGACCTGAAGCCACACAATTTATTGGCAGTGGATAGAAACAATGGAAAGATCATTCAGTACAAAGTATCCTTTACTTGAACTAGAATCATGGTTCTAATTTTAAAACAGAGTCAAATATCCCACCATAAAATATCCTCTTTTGAATCTTCCAGAACAGTAGAAAATATTAAGTATGCAGCAGAATTCATATAACATATATACATATGATGATTACGCATTTTGTTTGTCATTTTCTAGAAGTTCCAAAGTTTCAATGATAGACCATAGTCTTCCAAGGGAAGAACAAATTATTTGAGTAATAGTTTTATCATTGTAATTCATTAATTTGGAGTTTTTAACCAGCTCAACTCAATATTCGAACTTTTTCTCTATAATAAATTGCTGTATATTTTATTTGTTATTTTAAATATGATATGCAAAGTTACAGCCCCATACATTTTAATATAGTTTTCAATCCCCTTGTAGACAAATAGTCACACTCTAGTGCCCCCTAAATGAAGAATAACTATTCATCTGTAACACAGAGATACAGAAGGCTCTGGATTTTCATTTTAAAGTGCTTAATTATCTGCATAAAGAGAGAAATAAAAAAAAGAGTCCAGGCCAAGTTCATGAGGGTTTGAAATTACTTTTCTTTTTCTAAACGAGCAACAAAGACTCCTCAATGGTGCAAGCTGTTGTGTGGCCACAGGCCAACTGTAGAAGAAAATGTTGAAAACAGGGGGATCAGGAATTAAATTGAAATATATGATGCAAGAACCAAACTCAAAATTTAAAAAATGTAGGTGGTGTATTCAGCCACAGGACAATATTAACATATTGAAGGAATAATCCAATCAGCAATAAAATTAAATTTGCACATTAAGTATTGCAATGTGGGCAGTTATATAATCCAAGGTTATGTTTGAGGATTTCCTGCCTTGTCACTCACAAACATGTTTACAATATTCCTATTTATGAACATACTCAGCATTACTAAAGGACCACACAAAACACGGTATTAATCCCCAAACCAAAAAACTGAGAATGAAAAAAAATTGTTTTTCATGTAAATCTGATGGCCATTCTCAAGTAATTCATGTTCAGTACCATAACTTACACATTGGGCAGGAAAGAATGCTTATCAGAGAAGGAAAGGCAAGAGATTTAACCTTGAAACAAGGTAACTGCCATATAGTTGTTGAAGTAATTTACTTATTATCAGATAAAGAATTTACAGTACTTATTCCCTCTCGAGATATAAAATAGTGAATCAATCTGCAGTTCAAGATATTTACTTAAACCCAGAGGAGGAGGATACGGCTTTAACTTTTGAAAACCAAAATAGGAAGACAAACAGCTCTAATGTATCTTTAGACACCAGATTTAACATTCAACAATTCAAGCTAAATGCTGTTTCTCAAGTTCTCCGTTCATATATTTCTGTAATTTATATGAGTATAACGTAAGTAAAATGGAAGTTGAAAATCACTTATCAGGAAAGCTTAAAATTACATGGATAGCTACTAAAATTTATTTAAATATATAATCTACTGATCAATTCATCTATTCATCTATCCATGTATCCATTTGATCCTTCACAATCCTTTTAGTCTACTGATATTAGTCATCCTCTGGTTGCCCTTGAAAAATCCTGCACACATAACAAAGAAACAAAAAAAGGTCTGACTAAACAAATTTTCTCCGTTGATCTTTTCCTTTAAGCAAATGGTTACATAAGGAGATTCTTTGTTTTGTTTTAGGTCTAATCAAGCCTCATAAGACTTACCTTGCATATGTTGTGGGCCTTCAAATGAAATTCTTCTTTGAGAAATGGCACTGTTTTCTTATATAATTGTTCCCTTGGCTACTCTACCTGGCTCAAAATATCCTGAACTAAAATTTATGCTGCTAATATAAAAACAGCCTATACACAAATTCATCCAGACAGTATGAATAAGACTAAGTTTAGAACGAACCAAATAGTAAACATACAGACCAATAGACACTGACACACACACACACACACACACACA